CTACTGCTTTGGAACAAAAGGAAGTAACATTGGAAACAGAAATAAACACTACAAAAACTAAAACGCCAATATTGTCCCTACAGGAAACACAAGAAGTAGAAGAAATAATCAAAACTGAAATAATATCATGTTCTGAAACCTCGATAGAAAACGTTAATGTATCAATAGATATTAAAAATGATAATGAAATTACTCCTAAAAGCGAAAAAGAAACAGATAGACCTATAGAAAACATTATCATAGAGAATAAAACATGCTTGGCGGATATATCAACTACTGCTTTGGAACAAAAGGAAGTAACATTGGAAACAGTAATAAACACTACAAAAACTAAAACGCCAATTTTGTCACTACAAGAAACACAAGAAATAGAAGAAATAATCAAAACTGAAATAATATCATGTCCTGAAACCTCGATAGAAAACGTTAATGTATCAATAGATATTAAAAATGATAATGAAATTACTCCTGAAAGCGAAAAAGAAACAGATAGACCTATAGAAAACATTATCATAGAGAATAAAACATGCTTGGCGGATATATCAACTACTGCTTTGGAACAGAAGGAAGTAACATTGGAAAATGGTGAAAATACATTAATAAACGAAATGCCCATTTCTTGTGAACAAGAAACAGCAGAAATGGAAGAAATGACCAAAGCTGAAATAATGTCATGTCCTGAAACCTCGATAGAAAACGTTAATGTATCAATAGATATTAAAAATCAAAAAGTGTTAAGTGGTGTAACTGTAATTGGAAATTTATTAACAGTTGACACTTTAACTGCACCTGTAGAAGACCAAATAGAGACTAAAGAAGTTAACGATGATGAGACTGTCACATTAGATAATTATTCGGTTGCATTTGATGAAACACCTTCAAATGAACAAAAAATAAAAATTCATTGTTTTGAAAATGAAAATAATTTACAAGAAAAATCGTATGGCATTCAAAAATTAGAAATGTCTATACAACGAATGAAAACTTCTAATGAAGGTTATTACGAAAAAACCTTTGTACAATTGGAACAAACTGAAACAATTTCTATAATAAATAAAGATAAGATTGACTGCGAAAACAAAAATATTATTAATGACAAATTATACACAGTCAATGAATCCGACCTTAACGCAATATTGTGTGCGTCTTCTCTCGAAGAAGCACTTACCTTACTGGACTCAAAAATTAAATTTAAATTTAAACATAAGAAGTCATCTAGTAAATCTAACTCTACGTCATATATTCCGAAAATTCAAACATCTGAGAGTAGAAGTAGCAGTAGTAACACAAACTTTGCAGATGCTCGAGAATTCTTTAAGGAAATTGAAAAAAAATCTAAAAAATAAAAACATAAAGAAATAAAAGTAATATTTTATAAATTCATGGACATTTATTTTAATAATCAGTAAAATCATTATTTTGTGACCAGGTTTAAGATGAAATTGTTAAAAACGTCTAAATTCATGGTGATTTTTTTTTTTATAATCTTCTCACTATCGTTTCGTTTTAATATTGAACACACGTAAAGTGGATAACAATTTTTTGAATTCTATTGAATTTTTATTCAAACTAATGGTATTTGCTGTTAATATAACATTCTTTAATGATGGCCAACAAATTAACGGCAGTACTGAAGAATTGTGAGCTATCAAATTGTTTGACAAATCTATTGTACTTAGACTGACAAATGGAATGTGATATACATGATATGCAATCTCTGAAAAATATTGGTTTGTAATTAACATAATAAATAATTTTTAATAAGAATAAAAAAGTATAAATAAATATTTTATTACTTTTTGTATCTTCATTTGCATCGTTTTCCATATCCTCGTTATTCTGGTGAGCTTCTGGTTGATTTTTACCATTTATACAATCAGATTCCTTTAAAAATTCAAAACACGTAGCGGTAAATATAGAGTAAACGTATAGAGTTAACGTTTCAATCATTTAAATTTTTATCATACTCATATAATTTAACAGATATAAAATAGTTGAACAAAAAATTTAATAAAATTTAACAAAGCCTTAATTTCTCATTTTTATACGTTTGACATAAATAGATAATACTTCATCACGATAATGTTATTCGTATAAAAAAATTAAAAACTATCATCAATGAGTCATTCCCAATTTTTCGTCATAATTTTTAATCTTATCTACATTTAACTTTCCTAATTATCAAAATGTATATTCGATTGATTTTTAAAATAAATTATTATTATTATTATTGCTACAGGCAAAAGAAAATGTAAACTAATTTTAAAATCAATGTTTAATAGTTTTATTTTACAATATTTAAATCAAAACCCTGTATATAAAAAGCCATTTTTCACAAATATTTGTTTGTAAATGTACAATTTATATTAAATGTACATTCAACAAACAAAGCATACTAGACTAGTATTACAAATATATTTCATCCTCATTGTATCTGTAGTATTATGCAAATGAAACACAGCAAACACTACAGAGTTAATGCTTCGTCTGAACATCGTCATAATACATAACACAAAATTTAGAATATCAACTCCTTATTACTCCCATGGCTCATGGAAGTGTCATAATTGTTAAAGAAATATCAGTATTTCTTTATATTATATTATTAATTTTTACTTTTAAATAATAATAAAAGAAAAAATGATATAGATAATATGCTTGTTGATTAGATAATAAGAATAACAATATTGTTTTGGAAAATTTAATAATCTAAATTGTTTAATGCCTAGCAGAATGCGATATATTTATAATAATAAATAATAATAATAATAATAATAATAGTAGTAGTAATGTATTGAATACCTCACCTGTTTCATTATCAAATAAGGTATAAATGATATTCGATTGCTTCTCATGTTCAATACTTGCAAATTGTGCAGTGTCGACATTATATAAAACGTCCTGGGACATGACAGGTAATTGTCGCTCAAATCTAGTAGTTTAAGCGACAAAAAGCAATGAAAATTTGTAATACTCTCGGGGATAACCGTCAGATTATTTTTCAACATATAAAGTTGTTCTAGTTTTGATATGGACAAGTGGTATATATCGTCTGGATTCAGTTGGTTTTCTGAAACGTCCAAACGAATTAATGTTTCTGCCAAATCACCATCAATACTGAAGAAAATTTAAATATTATTAGCATGTAAAGATGTAAAATTTCGTTCAAATATATCTGATTTTAAAACAATTTAAATACTGCATCACATCATTATCAAAACCTAGTGTTAGCTAACACAAAATGACAAGATTTGATGCAATTCGTTCAAAAAAAAATACATTGTGGTAAATGGTAATAACATATTTTATTTATTATCCCATCTCATAATTCTAATTTCGTAAAAAGCTCACTTCTATCTAGAGCTATGCCCTTGTACAATAATTATTCCGATTTCTATTTCTTCTCTGATTCATTAACTATGATAACTAAGCGTCTCACCTAAACTTCAGATATATAATATTGTTTTCTACTCGTATAATCTTACCATTATATTGTTTGTTAACTTTATTGCATATTATTTTCTACTGTTTTCTTTTTTTTTATTAATATTATGTATTTAATTAAATTTTTTTTTTAATTTTTTTAATTTTTTTTTTTTTTAATTATTTATTATTACAAGTTAGACTTCTCGTTTTATTTAAATAGATAAATTATTATTATTATTCAGATAATTGATATCGAAATATTACAATAATTATAAATATCGATATTAAAATAATAAAGTGATCAAATTATAATATGTCAAACAATTTTATTTATTTTTTTAAATATATCAACTAACATAACGTAAAAAAAAATCTTTCATGTAATGTTAATAACCATTAGCACTTCATCGATCACACTTGATAAACCAATATTAGATGGAAGTGACAAAAAATTAATAGCTAACAAACGTCTCCAACTAAACTTGCACGATATACTCATAGTCACCAAATAAGACTATTTTTGTACAACGTTAAAATTTGAGTACTTTATATATTGTGTATAAAAAAAATTACTGCTATGCAATATTTATTATAGGTACAAAATTATAGGTAACTAACTATATATTTAAATAGTTTTTACTGCTGTTTTTATAATTTAGATAATATATTGTGTAACTAATTATTTAAAAATTCCAATTCAAGACATTTCAGGTATCTTTTTAAGCATCTAAAAATTAGTCTACCATGCATATAATTAATATAATGTGCATATAGTTGCTCACAATTTTCATCTTCGTGCTGTCTACTAAAAGCACTTGAACTATTTATAACTCATTTATCTCATCTATCTCCTGTCTAAACTTTGAAACTTACGTCATTATATTGAATATTTAATAGAAATTAATATCTAACTTTCAAATTATTTATGTAAATTAGTTCTGTATAAAATAACTATTAGAGGTTTTTATGAACATAAAAATGTACTAAAACTGATTTTATAATCTTAGAAACATTGATACATTCAATACAGTCATAAGATATAAACTATTAAATCGTTACCCTTCAATAATAAAATAGTAGATTAGACGCTTAACATAACTTATTAGGCTAATTCACATCTCTAACAAAATAAATATAAAAAAAATTTAAACGTCACATATACTGTAAGAGCTATCTCTCCGCATCGATTGAAGTTCAATATAAACGCACTCGATGATAATAATATAATATAGGCTATAGCTTTTAACATGTTTAATCATAAATCATCATATAATTTATAGCTTAATAAGCGCAAATAGTTATTCAAATCCCCTTGAAAAATTCCTCATCATGTTGGAAATATTACCACAAAATGTTTGTCTATAATAATTTAGAAAACAAAATCGATAATAATTAAATCAGTAAAATTAGGACCAACTATTAAAAATTCAAAATTTCGTTTTAACGATAGGTACCTACTGTTATATTTTTAATAAATAATAATATAAAGCCATACGCATTACGGAACACTATATTTGATAAGAACGATTAAATGGATAATAATTGATATTTAATTATTATTTATATCTGAGTGGAGCATTGAAAACGCATAATATAATACTTCATAGCAATATCATTGTTATCACACTTATGGATTCGGCATTGTATATAATTCTGTTGGAAAACACAGTTGATAGTGATACCATTATTAACCGCAACACTATTACATTTTTTTTCAAACTTGTTTAAATGTTAATTTCATTATAATTTTGAAGATTTCATGTGAGTAAGAAACATAGTCTCTCTATCCAAAAGCGCATATTTACTAAAGATAGAAACGCTTTATAAAATAACGCAATAACAGTATGATAAGGAGCATAAGGTCTATATTATAGACTTCATACTTAGTGGTCTACGATATTACAATATGGACACGTAGACTATAATAAATACATGAAGAATAAATAATGGATAGGTTATTGAAACTTGTCAAAAGAAAATTTTCGATTAAACCAAATATTATAATAATAAACCACCTCTTATAGATAATAATATATATTAACGTGTGTTTGTTTTTTCGATTAAAATAAATTTTGTTAGCATTTTAGTATAGTGGCTGTTTAAAATTGTATACAATTATTATCGTGAAAAATATCCGAGAAAACAAAAATGTGAAATATTTTAAGTGGTAAGAAGGAAGTGGTACTATATGGAACTGAACGACGATCTAAAATTACAAATGTTATAACTCTACTATAGCCGATATTATAAATTATTGTCGTGCGCATTGCTCACGTGCAGTGGGTTACACATCACGTACGGTCTGACGGACTTCAAACGGTTGCGTCGCAAGCTCAGCCGCTGAATGGACGTGAACGTGTAAAACGACTCCAGTCGCAATAGATTGTCATCCGCGATCACGATGTTCACCCGGTCGAACAAGCCACCATCAAAACGTTCGCCTTCCGCGTGCAAGTATCCGCCACCCGATATGTCCAGGAAACCTTCTGCCGAGCCCGACCTGACCGTCACGTTCCCGACCGTGAATCTTGTGCTAGAACTACTGCATCTGCGACCCTGGACCAGAAGAAAAATTGTTTATATACGCGTTTCACATCTTCGCAATATATTGCTACCTACCCCTCGCAACTCAAAAACCACACACAGCTACATCCTTTTCCCGCCACATGACTATCGATCAATTTAGATCATCGCCCTTTCGCTACACCACCCCTCCCACCACGACACACATAAAAAGTTTATGTCATAGACCGTGCTATAAAAATTATAGTATACCTTTCCCCTTAACTTTTCGCTAGAAGTTTGATGCTACGCATCTTTAACTGGAGCGTGAGCAGTGTAATTATAATTTCAAGATGTCATTACTCTGTATTTGTAAATCCTTTATTATGGTCCATTAATTATGACACCGTGGTAATTTTCTAAAAGACGGAAAGTTTTACGATTAATCCTAACCGAAATAAAAATTAGTCTGGATTTACCTTACTGTTTTAAATAGTTTTTTAAAAACCAAAATAATATTTTTAATTACTTGAAAATTCGCGTTTAAATTTTTACTAGATACCTACCATTTTATTAGTACGCGTTCCTGAGCCACTACGCAAAAACTATTTTACTGATGTTATCATCACCATGACGAGCCTCATCACTTCTGATACAAAATCGTAACTCATCTCTTCCCAAAGATGACAGTTAGGCGTGGTAAAGTAAAACAAATTCATATATTTTTCACAGATTCTTCACTAAGAAATCTCTACGACTGATCTTTAAAATGTATTTTAGTTTCCCATAACGTGTTTCATGTATTATGTATGTACTAGCAACAAACTAACTAAACTACATAACACATAACTTTATAAAATTCAACTGAAACCTAGATCACAGAGTCGTAGAACTTTAATTTGTTTTTTTTAATCAATGATGAAACATGTAATTTTAAACACAGTATTTAATGTTAATAAAACATCAAAATATATACATAGCCCTGATAAATCAAAGTTTATAATCTTCAAAAAAACCTATAATTTTAAGAAAATAATACAATTTTAACGTATGTTAAAAAGTTTAAAATAGTAACTAAAATAAAATTTTCAATTATTTTTTAAATATTAACAGTTAAAGCAAATTAAATTGCAAGCAATTGGTCGCAAAATATAACACTAAAAATATGTATAGAATGAATTAAAAATAATTGACTCCACCAAGCATCAAAAACCATAATATGGGGCAAAACGCATTACATTTTAATTCATCTTAGAATAATTTTGTGTTGTAGTAATTAGTAAATTATTTATATGATAAAACTCGTTCAGTTATGTACAAAAATCATCAAATTAGAGTAAAAACAGATTCCATTTAAATTAAACAAAATATTGGGCGTTTATCGATTGCACCGAAATGACCTTTTTACACATTTTTTACATATTGATTCCACTGACTATCGACTGCGCTGAACTTTTTTATATATTAATTCCACTAGTTATCAATCCACTGAATATTTGTAAATTATTTACTTAAATAATAGCAAAATGTGTAATGCTTAAATTTACACAAATGACAATAATATTTTTTTTGAAATATTTTTATTTACTGTAACCTGTACTGTTAATTAAAAAATATACTTTATATAACCAACATAAACAAATTTTTCAGCAGAATTAATATAGATAAATACCAAACGGAATCGATAACCGGCGAAATCAATATGCACAAATATCAGGCAGAATCGCTGGCGGAATAGATATTAAGACGTAATCTAATGAAGATTTAGTAAATGATTAATGATGCACCTAATGGCATATAGCAAATGAAAACTATTTGTCCATGGATAAGTAATATTTTTAAATATTTAAATATATAAATTTCGTTTAATGAACCTAATTGATACCACTGCAGAATTTACTTTAATAAAAAAAATATAATATATCTATTACAATGGCCGACTAATAATGACGAGATACACTCAAATTCCTACCAAATAACCATTGCATGATCTTAATAAGCCTTTGTAAACAATGTTGGATAGTATTTACGTATAAATTATATATTATACCAAATGCAGAGAAAATATTAACGAACACGCCGATCTTAAGATATACGGATAAAAGTTAGATAATGGAATATAAGTTCAGTGATTTTTTTCAAATAATACTAATAAGTAATAACGACACAATACTATGTATTAAATCTTAATAATCTTATTATACATCAAAATATTAAGTGTTTGCAGAATTTTATATTTTTAATTTAAACCCATATAGATAAAAACAATGGACGGAATACCTCTTTTTATAAGTCCTTGACAGGGTTGCGTCTTTTTTCGGGAGATAAGGATAATAGTAGGCAGCCTCATTACCGCATGGTCAAGGTATGGACAGACAACACGGCGCTGCAGTTTTTATGGTTAAACCTTAACAATAGACACAATGAAAATGTACCCGAAAAGCAATCGCAATTAATCCCCGTGTAAATGTGTAATAGATAAGGTCGGATGATCCATCCATTACTTTATTATCTGTGTTCAAGCCTATGACATTGTCATGTTACAAATGAGAGACACTGTAATAAAGTTTCATTTTGCAGTAGAGTAGACAATACGTAACCAACAGTTCTCATTACGCCATAATTTTATATTATTTACCTGCATTACACTAATACAATATTTACAATTACTGTGCTCATCAGTTTCTAATGAAAAAACTCATGTAAAATTTTTTCGACCATAGATAAACTCTGATACCAATTTTAAAATATTCAAAAAAAATTATGGAAATGAAAATATTTTAAACTAGGATTGGTTCGAATAAATTGATAATATTTTATTTTTTCATGATTTATACAAAAAATAGAAGCCTGTGAAACTCGCTTTAAGTGGATATCTGAGGTCTAAAAAATGATTCCGAAAAAGAACAAACTTCACGTTTTGTAATATACTCGTAAAATTATCAATATGATAATAAAGAATAAGTATAATCGAATAAGTGCGAATACCTGTTTCGAAGATTTTTCTTTTTCTTTTTGTAAGTCTTCACACGATTCTTTTACCAACACCCAATGTCCAACTAATGATTTACGTTTATACTCTTCTAATTGGGAACCTAATAAAAAACGACCATGTACCTACGAATTAAACAAACTTCGAGAAAATAAATTAATCATAAAGTGATTATATATGCACGTTTGAGTACAACAAGCTTATTCCTCGAAAACATAATGTTCTGTATTATGTATTGGTTGAATATTTTTTTTCCACAACTGTCACTTTGAATATTTTGTAAAATCAATCCGTTTACAACGCAAACAGAAAAAATCCGTAGTAACAGACTTCGCCGATTTTATGAAAAAAAAAAAAAACATTATCTACGTAAAATAATAATGTCACGTTTTTAGCCATGGATTTCTTACGCTTTAATCTATACCATATCAGTTTAATAGGTACGTACGCCGTAGTGGTTAATGTAATTTTTCGGGAAGCTATTTATCAATTTATCTCTTTTCCATGTATTTATGCAAACAAGGTATAGCTGGTAAATATAGCCATATAGGAGGTAACCGTAAAAATAATAATAATATTACATACATAATATTATTATGATGAGAACTCGGTGAACGGGTGAACATTAAATATACATTAAATATTTTACCCGCGGTCACAGGTACCGCGATAAAAATAAGGTCTCGTTTCGACGTTTCTATAAATTACCCATGCAAACGAGTCTGCCATTTACATTATTTTTGTCAAAACATATTTTATAATATACCTAATGGTTTATAATGCAAACGCACAATTGCATTATAATATTATCATACAACTATTACTTACGAGGTACGTAGGAAGGTAGTAGGTACCTATTATTAAGTATTATGAATTTATGACACCTGCCTATCCAAAAATGTGTAGACTACAATATACCCTACCATTGGTTTGTGTAATTTCATTGGCATGAAATGTTAAAAAGTGCTCTACTGCTGTTTATTGATGTAACAAATTTTATTACATTATCGTATTTTTACTATTATTATTAATAAAATGTAAAGATAAATAATAACATTACCTATCATGAACGTCCCCATACATTTTTCAGGGGGGGGGGGGGGTTAATTTAAAAAATAAATGAAGATTTTTTTATACATTTTATTTATAGAACATTATTATGTTTTGTCATTATTACAATAAATTATTACAATTAGGTAACAAATTTAAAATTCTAGTGGGGGAGCAAGTGGTCTGTCTTGTAAGGTCTGTCTCACTAATGAATGGTACTGTTTTTTGCATGCAGACGCCAGACTGAGCTCTACTAATCGACGTCATCGGATCGAATGTGGTAAGAGTTAAGAATATTTAGTCGGGGAACGGTGCAAGGAAGCGCAAGAATATCCAGTTTTCGTCAAAACGTAGTATTTCTTTCGTAGGTACATCCTAATTGAGAATTTTAAAGTCCACAACATACGTCCCGACTCCCGTCTCTGATTAATACGAGTTATAATTTTTAAAAATGACCGAAAGCAACGTACGGATTACCCTATAAAAAGTTGAATGACACCCCCGGGATATTCGTGAATAACAAATTACATACCCACTCTTTTTAAATCAGTTTATTTTCGAGGTCGTTTGTAATAAATTACCAAAGTACTGAATACCTATATCTATTTTTAACCATAAATTAAAGTGTATTCCCTTATAATTTAATTCGACAATTTGAAATACCTATGTAGCCAACAATACGGTAAAAAATTGTCTCAACACATTAATGAATTTAAATTTTTAAATCATTACATTTTACAAGTTATGATGAAGTATAATTATGTTTATACATATCCTTGTCTGTATTTTTATAATATAATACTATGGTATTAAATCTCAGCAAGAATAAATATAGATAATATACAGATACAGCAGGAATTATAAAAACCTAGTCAGGAATTCACAAGTATCAAGCACTAATTATTAACAGGAAATTAAAATTGCAAGGAGGCCGGATCACATACATGAATAAATCAATATATTAAAATATCTAGTGTCATCAAAATTCACACTTCATTCTCATGGAAAATTGTTTGATTTAAATCCAAAGTACTTTTTAATTCCCAGTAAAAAAATTATGAGAATTCTTGCATTACATTTTTTAATCTTCAATGTTAAAATTAAAATGTTGATGAATTTTCAACCACAAAATAATTTGCAAATTTTGAAAAAAAATTTTTTAAATGTTAACAAAAAAAAGTTGTGACGATGTATTTTTAATAAATTTTTTTTTGTAGTAGAAGTAGTAGTAGTATGAATAACTTATGAGAAATTTTATACTAAATATTTAAACAAAAAAAACACATAGTAAAATCAATACTTCGCTCTGAATTTAAATTTTTTAATATTTTCATTTATGAAAATAAGAATTGAGTATTTATTATCACATATTTTATTAAATTAGGTATAAAATTTGTAAGAATTTATAGTACCTAATAATTATAAATAAAATAAATTGCAAGTAAAGCTTGTATTTTTTTTTTTTTTTTGTAGTTTAGATAAGGAATCTAAAAACTTGCATTTATAACTGTCTAATGAAACTGCATAATACAAGGAAAATATAGAATTCTATAGAAAAACTTTACAATAATCTTGTGTATTAACATTAAAAAAAGCAAAAAAAAAAATTCACAATGAATTCACATTTAGATAGAAGATAATATTTTTTTTTTTTGTAACATGTTATAACTATATTGCAAAAACAATAATAAACACGATTACAAATTTTTTTTTCCAATGCGCACCCCAAAATGAGATCACTAATGTGTGTGTGTAAGTGTGTATATAGAAGTCCCTTAAAGATGCTGTAAATATAATTTTTCTGCAGTTGTAATTAGATCAATCTACTTCTGTTTATGTGTATTCTGTGAAATCGCACATTTGCATCTTTACACGACTGCCACCTGCAGCCGCAGTTCCTTGTCCCACCTGTATCCCTTGTCCACGAGCTACTGATGTTGGTTCACCACTAATTGGCTGACCGTTACTGTCCACTTTCATCAACTTGCTCTGTATTCTTTTGATTGTTCTGAGCCGTTCCAACCAATTACTGGCATACGGCCCACTGTTTTCCTTGCTCAGACTGCTCAATATCTGTGATGCTAACTAAACAAAAAAAAAAAAAAATTCAGTTTTAACTCAAAGTCATTATTCGACAGAGACGAATTGCCCCTTTAGTAAATCAGATAATAAGCAGCTCATGTTAATTACCTTTATTTTAAGGCAAACATTTAATTTTATCTTTTTTTTTTTTGTAAAATCACATTTTATAAACAACTAAAATAATATAACTTTTAAATTAACCAAATGCGATGCATTCATCCAAATAACTCATTAAAACAATTTACTGGGCAATTAATAATACATATTGTGATAGATTGAGCGATTGAAAGCAGAAAGAAAAAGTTTATAAAAATAATCAAATATATTTATTTAAACAGATATATAATCTACTAATTTTGATATAATTTTAAGAATGGATTTTTAGAAAATTCTGTATTATACACAATTATCTTAAAATTTATAAGAATAATTAATAAAAATATCACTAAAAACAATATTTGTAATTACTACAACAGCGAAAAAAATAATTTTCCAATGTTTCGTTCAGCTTCAAAAATTAAATTTTTAGTATAAGTGTTTTAATAAAAAAGTAATTATGGGCTGCTTATAAATATACATCCCATGGTCAAAAATATCAGCAATTTATTAGGCTAACTGATAATTAAGTTTTTATGGGTAAGTAGATTTATAAAAATAGAAAATAAAATTTAAAAACAAGCATTGTCTTCCAAATACTCAAATTCATAACCAAGTCAAAGAATTTTTTAAAGGTTTTCTAATACTAGCACTAAAGATATGATATCAGAAAATAAAACATACATCTGTGTGAATAGCTAACTGTCTAGCCAACATTGCAGCATTTTGATCAGAGACAATTTTTGGTTCTTGATGACCAACATGCTCACGCAACTCTTTCCTCACTTTCACAGTTATCTGATTTACACCATGCTCTAAAGGTTTTACTATCACACAGCCATAATTAAACTGTCCCTATAAATAATAAAAATATTTTATGGTATTATATAAAAAATGAGTAAATTTAGATAGAACAAAATGTATAATTACTTTTACAGTTTGGATATCATACTCTTGTCCACTCTCATTGTAAACAATTGTAACAAAATCATTTCCAATATTTTTCTTTTTATTATTACATTTAACATCGGATTCAGTAGTTGGCATTAAAGTAGCTACATGAAATATTACCTAAAATAAAAATAAAAAATTAATACAACTTGAAAATAATGGGAAAAATATATAAAATCTATCAATTAGTAAAAAATAAATTTTGTATTTCACTAACTTGCATAATGTCATCTTGCCATATATAGGTAAATTTTCCATCATTGCCATCAGTTTCTAATCCACCCAGAAATACGCTGTGTGAATCTGTATCAGATAGTTTTATAAGGGTACCCAAGCATTTCAAAAATTCAGTATACCTCAAAGACCCATGTCGATTTCGCAGTATATCTACTTCAGAGTTAGCTTGTCCCAACCCAACATAAATAACTCCAATCTAAATAACAGATAAAGTTAACTAAAACGATATTTAAGTTAAAATAATTAATACAAACCTTATGCACTTCATATGGAGGTATTCGATCCAAATTTTTTACAGCTTTTTCTATCATGGTCTGAGACAATGGTAATAAAATTGGTTTTGCATCATTATCAATAAAAGTAAAATGAGAAGAATGGTATAGCTGAAGAAAAACAAAGCTAAAAGAAAAAATGTAATCATAAATATTTAGTATAATATGACTAGCCTTAAGATAATTACAAAAATAATTACCTCGGATTAATTCCTGACCGCACAGGCTCTTTTGATTGATTTGCCCTATTACCTATAAAAAGTGAATTATGATTTGAAGATATTACTGTTGGCTTCTTAATAGCATTCATTACAGCTAATGTGTGTACACGATTTCGAAACATAAGAGGTGGATCTGTATCATTTTCATAAACAGTTAAATCATATTTATTTCATTACAATACTGAGCCTTGAATGTAGTCAAATATTTAAAACATACAAATAAGATTACATCAATTCACTAATACAATAGAAACTAATTAGGATCTTACATTTTTTTCTAATGACTGAGATTCATAATTAATTGGTGG